TGACTATCCTCACTCCTCCTCTGTTCACTTTTGAAGAATGGTACTTTCTCTGACCATTAATTGTTAGTTTGCTTCTTTTACTTGGCTTCCTAACTATAGGTGACTCCTAAGGTTTTAAAGTCCTTGGTCCTCTGCTCTTTGTTCTCTGTACTTCAGTGATCTCATCAGTTCTGAGAGATTTAAGTATCACTTCCTTGTAGGTAATTCTCAATCTGTACCTCCAATACTCACCTTTCACTTGTGCTTTAATCACAATTGGCAGTGGCCAGTAGTTTACTGAAATCCCTCAAACCTCAACATTCCTAAAATACTTTCCATCATTTTCTCATCCAAAACACTCCAATTTCACAAAAGTCCCTTTCTCCCAGGATTTTAGATTCAAAGAGTGCCCATGTTTTTCTACCTTTTCATCATCTTTATCTTTTCTTTCTCCTTCATTCCCTATATCCAATGTGTCACCAAGTTAAATCATTTTTCAAACAAAATATGTCTTATTTATCCTATATTTTCCATCCCCACTACCACCATCATAGTTTAGATATTCATCATCTCATGCCTAGATTATGGCAATAGCCTTTTATTTTATCTCCTGGTCACAGCTCTTCCCCTTCTCTAATTCATCAGGAGTACTAATGCCAGACTAATCATTTCAGAATAGGTTTTATCAGACCATTCTTCCTATTCAGCAAACCATGCTAGCTTTCTACTGCCAACCTCTAGCAAATAGAAATTCTTATGTCCAGAGTACAGAACCTCAAATCTGGAAAGGACCTCAGAGGTTTTCTAATTTCACCAGCCACACCCCATTCAACATCATAAAACCAATTAATTTCTAATACTATATTCATGATCATGATCATAAATTTAGGACTGGAAACCTTCATTTTGCAAATGGGGGACAGTCTTAGAGAACTTAGTGACTGGTCACAGAGCTAATAAATTAATGTCAGAGCCAGAGTTTGAACCCAGATCTTCCTGATTTCAAGTCCAGCATGTGATATATTTTGGTATGCTTCCTCCGAGTGTTTCTGTCTTTTATGCCTTTGATCATTCTATTTTCCCTCTCCAGAATTCCTCTCTGTTTCCCCTTTACTTTTATTATTCTACTTATTCTTTAAGGTTCAGCTCAAGGGTCAGATCCATAAGGAACCTTACCTTTAACTACAGCTTCCAGTGATTATTGATTTAGAGTTGTAAAAGTAGTTATAAATCCTTATTTTACAGATGAGGAAACAGAGTCCCAGAGAGGTGAAGCAATGGGCCCACTATCATGTAGGTGATAAATAGCAGAGATAGCATTCCAACACAGGTGCTTGGTCTCCAAATCTAACACTGTTTCCACTGTACTGCCTCTCTTTTGTGAAGCCCCAAAACACTTAAAAGTTGAGACTAAACAGCTTACCATTTAGTCGTCTTCTCATTTGTTCATATGCATTAGATTTGTCTCTACAACTAGATCGAAAGTTTCTTAAGAGTATGGATTAAGCCATAAACTTTTTTTGGGGGGGAACCTTTATCACACCTAATAAGGGCTAGATGAAGTACCACGTTCAAGCAATCATTTTATAGATGAGGAAAGTGAGTTTATATCCCCATAGAGGGGATATGAATAGCTTACTACCAAGGTTGTAGAGCTGGGATTGGTCCCAGAATCACAAAATTTTAGAGGTGGAGGAGACCTCACTTGTGTTCTATTCCTACACATACTGGAAGCCTTCAGATTTTAAATTCATCTTCCCAGTGGTATTTATTAATTCATAAATGACAAAGGACAGAGAATAGATTTAGCTTTCTACTTTCACAACAATCTACCAAGTGGGTACAAAATGTTCAGAGTGAGCAAAGATTCGGATGTTCTATTTGCATATTTCTCATCTCTTGGACTTTGGGAAAGAATGTGGTTAATTTGAGATAAACTTTCATTCTTCTTAAAAAAAAGCGAAGTTAATGATATGAATTAAAATCTGCTTGCAGCACTGTTTGGTATTATAACTGCAATAGGATAGTCCGAAGCATGTGAGAGACCATGTATGCATGACACTCTCTCTGTGTGTATATATGTCCAGATAAAGGTTGCACTCAATTAGCATTTAGGATGATTCATATCATTAACAAGTCAATTTTACCATGATGCTTCCTTTGAAATCACACCCCTCCCTATTCACCCCCAACTTTGCTCCCAAAGTGGAAACAATTTAATTTACCATCTCTGACCTTCAGTTGGTGGCATTTTTATTTGATTCATTTCCTTCTTATAGTTCATTTAGAACTATAAGATTTTAGAGATCATTTAGCCCTCATACCACACCCCATTTTATAAATGAGTATGCTAAGCATCTTATTATCCTTGAGAACATTTTCCAGCACATACAATAATAGTCTGTTGCACTGAGAGATCTCATTGATTGGGGTATTTCCTACATCAATGCCAAGCACATCTTATTCTTGCCCATAGCCCCCCATAAGTTTGCCACAAGTGTTGGCCAAGTGGGCTGAAGGGGTCTTCCTCAAATTCTCCTAACATCTCAAGGATACCAGTACCACTGGAGTCCTTCGGTTTTCCCTTATTTTCCTCCATTCAAGTAGGCAATCTTTTTTTTTGATCACATATTCCTTTGATGACATCCTTTACACTGCTTCTCCTTCATCATTCTTTGTTCATAACATATTACAGCCTGCTCACACCCACCATGCATCCCTCTACTACCCTTTGGCTTATCATCAACTTCAGTTCTTCAGAGGGTGTAGTGTAGCATGACTCACAGCCATCTAACATCACTGGAAGAATATTGGTATTAATAGATGGGCCTTTGTTTTCAGCATCTACAATTAATTATTCATTAGAAACAGTTTTCTCACAAGTCACTGCATCTCATTTTGCTTAATGTGCTTAATCCTCTATTCAACTTCCCGATTCCTCTTTTTCTTCCTAGGTTTCCCATGGTATAGGTAGTGCAAGAGAGATTTCAAAACACTTTCAGAAACCTCTCTTCTTCATCTCCGTTCTCTTTCTTCTGGACTTTCTTCCTACATTTCTAAACTACAAAGGGTAAAAACATAAGGCAGTGGAACCCTGGTTCAAGCCCTTATCACCTCTCACCTGGACTTTTGCAATAACCTTCTAACTGGTTTCACTGTCTCAAGCCTCATTCCACTTCAATCCGTATACTTACCAAAGCTGCCAAAGTGAATTTGTTTAAGTGCAGGTCTGATCATGTTACTCCACTTTTGGGAAAAAAACAAAAATGAAACAAAACAACTAATTCCCAATTACTTCTAGGAGCAAATATAAACCCATCTGTTTCACTTCAAAATTTGTCACCACTTAGCCTGTTTCCAGCCTTATTACATACTCCCCTTTTGCATCATATTGTCAAGTCAATTGGGCCTTCTTTTTGTTCCTCATGCATAGTACTTCATTCTCTACCTTGTGCTCTAAATTTGCTGTTCTCTAATTCTGCTGTGGATCTATTAGCTCTCTTTTGTTGTTGTTATTGTTCAGTCCTGTCTGACTCTTCATGATCCCATTTGGGGTTTTCTTGGTAAACATACTGGAATAGTTTGACATTTCCTTCTCCAGCTCATTTTACAGATGAGGAACCTGAGGCAGACACAGTTAAGTGACTTGCCCAGGGTCACACAGCTGCCCATTAGCTGTCTTTTAGAATCCCTCATTTCCTTCAAGACTCAGTTCAAGTCTCCCATTATATAAAACCTTTCCTGATCTCTACAAGTGCAAATACATCCTCCTCAAATTACAATTTTGTATACATATTCATAAATGTACATACATGCTATACACACATATATATGTTGTCTCCCATGATAGGCCGTGAACTTCTTAAGAGCAGGAAATGCTTAAATTTTTTTTTCTCAGTACTTTCAGCATCAAGGTTGGTGTCTTGTATATTTGCGGATGCTTAATAAATCTTTTGGGGCAGCTAGGTGGCTAAGTGGATAGAATGCTAGGCCTGGAGTCAGGAAGACTCATTTTCCTGAGTTCAAATCTAGCCTCAGACACATACTAGTTGTGTGACCCTAGGCAAGTCATTTAACCTTGTTTGCCTCAGTTTTCTTATCTGCAAAAGGAGCTGGAGAAGGAAATGGCAAACCGCTCCACTATCTTTGCCAAGAAAGAGTCAGACATGACTGAACAAATTGAGCAACAGTAAGAACAAAACATGTTTGCTGAATTAAATTGAATGTTAGATAAGGACCACAAAGGCACTTCTCTCCTTCATGCCTGATACTTCTGAGCTTTTTCCCTACCAGTGATTCTGACTTTGCACTTGCTGCACAGGTCAAGCCCTGTGATCAAAGCATTTTTTCCAATACGTTCATGCATGTATTATCCAGGGAATATCCCAAACCTAATGGCAGTAAAATACCATTCCAATCACACAAAACAAAGATTTCACAGGGAACTCATTTATTCTGGGTATTTATAGCCAAGGTCTGGAGCAAAAGGTGTTTCTGGGTCTGCTCCTCCAATAGCTACCTCAGCACCACATGGTGACTGTGCCTCATCAATCCTATCTCTATCTCCCCTCCTCTTTTTCCAGCAGGATTGGAGGAGTAAATTGCATTATATCCCTCTGTTCTATAAACTATGTCAATTTGTGTAGAAACAATATCAAATATGGTAATTTTCCTCTCTTCTTTTCTTAAACCATTACATCCTCTAACCTCAGTCACAGCGACCTTTGAAAGAAAACAACTGCAAAGGATCCTGGGTAATGCTATTATGCTAATTTGCCAGCTAATCTGTAAAAATCAAAGAGTAGCTGTTACTTTGGGATCTCTGAAAAGAAAACATTGAATAGAGTAGAAGTTATAGGAGTCAGATTTCAGCTCCATTTAAGAAAAGAATTTTTAATAATTAGAGCTAGCCCCCATAATGAAATGTTCTCATTCATAGGAAAATAGAATCAGAGATCTAGAGTTGGAAGAGACCTCTGATGGCATTTAATTTAACCCCTACATTTTGCAGATGAAAAAACTGAGGTTGAAAAAGGATAAAAGGCTTTCCAAGGTCACATAAGTTTCCCACTTCTGGAGGAATTTGTATTGAAGCTTGATGACTACTTGGAAGTTTTCTTGTAAAAGGGATCCTTGTTCTAGGTAAGGGATTAACTGAATGACTTCTAAGATGATAATACTTATAATAAGCAGCATTTTGTAGCGCTTTCAGGTTTTCAAAGCTCTTTACAATTATTATCTCATTTGATCCTCACAAGAATCCTGAGAAGTAGGTGTTGTTATGATCTTCATTTTATACTTGAGGAAACTGAGGCAGAGTTGATGTGACTTGCCCAGGGTTATACAGCTAATAAGTGTTTGAGGCCAGATTTGAAGTCAGATCTTCTTGACTCCAGGCCCTAGCTTTCTCATTTGCCTAGGTACTTTAACACATGCTCATTGACTAGTTCACAAGCAACAAAATGGAAACCTCATTTCCATTGTGCTTAGGGCAAGTATCACAAACAACTTCTGGGGCAAATAGCAGGAGCCCTCAGTTGAGAGAGTTGGTTTCTTTATCTCCTAATTCACTTTGTGTTTCCATGTGTCTTCCTTCACCAAATCCACACATCTAAATTCAAACCTTTTGGAGATGAAAATTAACAGAATATTAGATTGTGAGAACTGGGAAGAAAACAACTTTCTTCTTGTACATAACAGGAAACTGAGGCACAGAGACCTAAAATGACTTCTCTGAGGTCACAGAGCTAGTTAGCAGCAAATCTAGGCTTGTTTCTTATGAATAGTGCCTCAATATACAGTTACAATGGCATAACATTTTAACTGGGCTAATGAACTCGATTTAATTGAGTGCATTGTTTAAATGGGCCTGGCAGACGGCTTTTATGATAATGTCAGCACGATGGCAATGGTTCAGTACTGACTTGTGCATCTTAGAAATGGAAGGATCATATCTTCTAAGAGGGCACAGATGAACATATGGAAATTAAAGAAATATAAATAACCCTTATCTTTGCCTCAAACTCTCACACAAACCCTGACTTGAAGTTTTTATGATGTTGGGGGAAATTTGTAAACTAAATATAAAGCCATACTTTATTCTGACACAACCTCACCGTTTTCTGAAGATAAAAATATGTCACATTTCCTAATCTGTCTTCTCCCGTACTCACTCAGGTGCAATCTTTGTACCATGTCAGCTTAAATGAATTAATTATCTAAATAATAGTCATCACTCTAACTCTAAAGTACTTTATAGTAAGTACAAGAACAGAAGAAGGTGTAAGCATTATCAATCCATATTTTATAGTAAGAGGTTAGGAGATCTAGGAAAAGCAAATGTGAATCAATTAATGATGATGATAACAATAACAATAATAACAACTGGTATTTAGTTATCACTTTAAGCTTTACAAAGTTCATTGCAGATATAACCCATGGCCCAGCATCTAAAGCACTGAACCTTTGTGGACTCGGTTCAATCTTGGGGATAATTCCTAAAATCTCATGTCCCTTTGGCTCCTTTTCACCCTCACTCAAATTTATCCCAGGGAAATTTCAGAATATAGCTCAAATATGAATCAAATTTTTACAGATGTGAGTTCAAATGTCCTCAGTACCTATGCAAGTACTCAAGGTAACAATGCATATCTTTGAGACAGAAAAGCCTTTATTCCACCCCACAGAATGTCAGAAACATCCAAAGGCCTCCTAGTAGCTGAAAAGAAATCTATAAAAATTTCCACTTTTCCAGTAAGTTGCATTTTCCTCCAGGCTTATTCAGTCTCCAAGCTCATGGTACCACATATTTAGATTCCCTTTGGAAGAAAAATATATGTGGGGTTGCTAAAAGGGCCATCCCTTACCCTAGTTCTTGAGAACTTCATCTGAATCCCCAGAAACCCTTACAGAAATTCAGCTTTATGATACTGCCCTGAGGGATCAGGATCCCACTGAGAGAATAATAAGCTTGGGATTACCTGAACTCTCTTCTGTTCAGATCGAGGTCGAAGTCAAGGTATTTTGTTTCCCCCATATAGTAGCTTTAGTCACATGTAATTTTTTTTTCCTGTCTTTCAGGGCTATAGGTCTTCTCTCCATAAAGATGAATCTGTTCACTCAATTCTCTCAACCTGTACATAGAACCTGGGTTCATCAAGTTTTACCAGTTGACTGTAGGGATTCCCCACCCCCCCCCAATCCCTGCCCAAGAATATGAACAAGAACTTGAAGCCCAGGAGCTCTCATCTTGAGCAGCATGAAAAGGGCATATATAACTCCCATAAATTTCTATTCCACTACTGGGGAAAAATCCCATCCTGCCCCAACCCAGGTCTAGGTCTTTTGTGAGCTCTACTGCTTTTATGAAAGACTATGACTGATCTCCTTTTTTATAGATCCAGAACAAAAAGATAGCTTCAACCTACAATAATCTGAGCCAGCCAATTTGTTCCTGATTAATGAGTCCCATTGTCCATTAAGTACGAAGAGGCTTGTCCTTGCTTCTATAATAACATGCAAAATGCCAAAGGCTCCCAGAACTGTAAGTTCCCATGTCAACCCGGTAACAATAATGATAGCTAACAACGATATGGTGCCTACTATGTGCCAGGTACTATGCTAAGCACTTTACAGCTATCTCATTTAATTCTTCCAACGAACTTGGAAAGTAGGTGCTATAGTTAGCCCCATTTTCTAGATGAGGCTGACTGAGGTGAAATAACTTGTCCATGGTCACACAGCTTGCAAGTATCTGAGACTGGATTTGAAACCAGGTCTTCCTGATTCCAGGACCAGCATTCTATCCATTGTACCACCCAACTATAGATATACATTATTTCATTTTATCCTCTCAATCATTTGAAGCAATTGCTATAGGTCATTAAGTTTCTATTTTATAGATGAAATACCAAAGCTCAGAGAGGTGAAGGGACTTGCTCATGATTACATAACTAATAATTTCAGTGACAGAATTTTGAGGAATTTGAAATAAATGTATTCGCAAATCATTTCCAGCCAGGGGTGTGCTATAAATGTTTAATTACTGGCTCTCTGGTCAGGGGTGGGAGGTGGGGGGGGGAATGCCATACTTTCAAATGTAATCTTCATATGTGAAAATTTTATTTGAGTTTAGACAATCAACAATATAAAAAACATGCCCTGTTTTGTTTTATAGAGTTGGCCAGTTTACAGGGTATAAATGTTTGTAAAGAAAATTTTACAATCAGCTCTTTCAGGTGCCAATTCTAACTACCTTCAGCATGCTCCTGCTTCCAGCTTTAGATCTATGGATCCATGATCCTCTGTTTTGAATTTAGGTATCTTCTGACTCTAATCAGGGCCAGTGCTCTTTCCAGTATTCAGAATGATATGATGAGAATTCACAAAAAGTATGTATATAGAGTTTTTCCTTCTACTACATTCACTGAGAGATCTTTGGCTAAGGGCTATACCAATTTGTACATCATTTTTGGAAACTTCAAAATGGATAAGCCTAAGGACAATAGTCATTAATTAGGCTAATAATTATTAGCCATATAAGGCTACTGATTGCAACAGATACCAAGAGTTGCAGTGAAGGTCAATAGACTGATGGTATCTACTAACGCATAAAGAAAGGGTACTACCACCCTCTCCCCTTCCATGGGATAGATATCATTAGCACTTCTCTCACATAGCTCAGGCAGGAAGGCTGGTTAGTAGAAAGAGTTCTAGATTATGAGTCAGAGAACTTGGGTTGTTCAAATCTTGGCTCTGCCATTTATATATGTTGGTGATCTTGGGAACTTTACTTAACCTACCTGGGCCTCAGTTTCCTTATATGCAAAATCAAGAGTTTATTCTAGAGGGTCTCTGAGATATCTTCAAGCTCAAGCTCGTTGATCTCATGGTGTCGAAGTTCTCTTCAAACTGATGATCCTTTTTTCTTATGATTGACTTCTGACTAAGACATAGAAGGCTTAAAGGGTGACCCATCTCAAGTAGCCTTAAAGTTCTACCAGGTGAATATCTGAGCTTTACCAGCTAATCATTGGCATAAGTTAAAAGCTGATTTAACGTGAGCAACATTTGTTTCTTCCTTTTGGATGAATAATCATGATCATTATTATTGTCTTACATTTACAGAGAAGACTGGCAGGAGGGAAGATGGAAGGAAACAGTCCAAAATGTCATTCCTCTGAAGGCTTAACACTGGTGGCATGAGAGGGTCCTTGGAGAACTTTTCACCCCACTGTTTTGAATAGCCACAGAAAACTTGCTCAGGGGAAAGGAAGACTCCATGCCATTCTCATCCTTCACAGTCTCTAAGCAACCCAAGCTTGGCAGAGGCCTGTGGCTGTGTGGGAGGGTGAATGAGACTTCTTCAATAGCTGCCAGGTATCCTACATGCTCTGTGTGCTTATGTTATTTACTGTTTTCTCTTCTCAGTTTCTTCCTTCCTTCCTTCCTTCCTTCCTTCCTTCCTTCCTTCCTTCCTTCCTTCCTTCCTTCCTTCCTTCCTTCCTTCCTTCCTTCCTCTTTATTTTTCTTTTTTTCTTTCTCTTTTTTTTCTACATACCTCAAAACAAACTGGAATAATGTGCTGAAACAGCACAGGTTATAAATGAGAACCCAAATGACTTAATAAGAAATTGTGTGCGCCAATCAAACCCAGTCCCTTTTTGGAGAAGGTAAATAAAATTACCAATGAGAACAATTTATATTATCTTTCTAGACATTCATAAACCTTCTTTAAAAAAAGATCCACACAGCCACCTTTGCCTTCTTATTCTGTATTCCTGTGTCCACTGGTGTTCTTCTTCTAAACCCAACAGCACAGTCGAGTGCAGTGACAACAGGAGTTCAGATTAGCAAAAACAAGTGGGAGGAACAGAAAGAAAAGATCTTTCCTATACTCCTCTGCATAGCATTAGGGCCTCAGCATCAGCAATGTGTGATGTATAAACCATGAGAATTGGGCCCTGAGCGGCTAGGGGGAGCCAGCACACAGCTTAATGTCTTCTGATTAGCCAAGGCAATTTAAATTCTAGGTAGCTAGTCTCTGCCTGGGTATTGTAGGTTAGAAATCCTCCCTTCTCATCAGCCCTTAGGGAGAGGTGGGATATCTTTTATTGGAGGACACAGGAGGAAGCAGTTTCTTCCTGAAACACTCCAGAAGGTATAAGACAGTTGGAGAAAGGAACCCTAGCTTACTGAAGAGGGCCCTAGCAAGTAGCAGAAAGGGATGGATGCTTCATGGGCAGAAGAAAATGCAAGATGCAGTGATTATTGTGTTTTCTTTATCTAACCACTTGGTCTATTGTTTACTTGATGAATTCTGTGTTATCATTTTGTTGTTGTGGGCATTTTACTAAAAGTTCCTTTTGATTTTCAGCTATTGTTTAGGCACTTGTTTCCTCTGTTATAAACATATATGTATATATACACACACACACACATACATACACATACACACATATACATATATACACACACATACATATATACATATATACATATACATACATATTATACATACATACATACACATATATACACACACATATACATAACATACATATATACATATATATATATATATATATATATACACACACACACACACACACACACACACACACACAGGTAGCTAGATAACAGTGAGCAAACTCTCCTCAAGTCTTAACTCTGGGAGGAGACAGACTAAACCTTTGTGTCATCTGCCCAGAAGTAGAGACCTATAAATGGGTTAAGTTGAGGAACACACAGATGCACCTTCCATATTTCCTAATGTATTCTTTCCTGGGAAACTCATCTTGTATTTAATTTTTTATTAAAGCCATAGGGCAAATTTATAGCAACCTCCATCAAAGATGGAGTACAGGCAATTCCTAATTGACAACCTTGTACTCCAAATGGACATTGGTTAGGTTTCCAAGACAGTCTGTAAAAGTCTGTTTAACCCACAATGCAGCTGAAACTAACCATGATGTATAGTGCTATTTCTATAGGAAAATGCACTCAAGAGTTTCAGCTTATGTTGCTAAGAATACATCCTGTAGGCTTGGGAGGGGAGACTGAACCAGAACTCTCTGGTCACTTGAAGGGCTAGGAAGAGATCTTCAAGTAACTCTTGGTAGATCTATGTCAACAGGTAGGATTTGGGGGATAAGGCTGCAGGCAGGTGAAAGATTGAGGGAAGGGTCTTGGTGACAGAAAGCTCTAGTTTGGGGATGAATGATAGGATGTATCCTGGTCAACAGGAGATTGAAGTCATATAATTGGATAGGGTTTCTTCTATTCTCATCATTTTCTTTTCCCCTTGGGGAACTCATCCTGCTACTGCAGACCAACTACGCTGTAAACTCTTCCTCCCTACTGACCCTCACTAGAGAAATGAAAAAGAACCAGGGGAGAAAAACGGAACTTAGGATCCCCCTCCCAAGTTTCCAGTCTGTCCAATGATGAGATAAGAATTCATTTATTCAAAAATGTGAATTTCTTGCTGTGTTCAAATGAGGTACAAAGTTGGGAGGATAAATACGGACAAATCTCTCTGATATATAGAATGTAATCCCCTTGAGGGCAGGAACTATTTCTTTTTCGATTTTATATCCTCAGATCCTAGCACAATACTTGACTCTTAATAAACGTTTGTTGAACCAGGCCTTGGAGCCATACCTTTCATGCCTGATACTGGGGAGGGTTAAGACTGGTTGAAAGCCTGAGTTCTGGAGTTCTAAGCTTCAAAATGGCTAAAAACATTCAGGTGTTTACAGTAAATTTAATACAGTATGGTGAGCCTTCAGGAGCCTAAGGAGAAGCAAATTGACTCTGGTAGCAAATGGAGTAGGCCAAAACTTTCATGCTAATCAGTATTAGGATCATACACATGAGCAGCTACTTAACTTCTAGCCTAGGTGAAATAGAAGACGTGTTTTCAAGTGAATAAAATAAACTAAAAAATAAATCCTTGTTGGCTGATTCAATGCTTGCCTGCTCAACACAGTTATCTACAATTTTATAATATAGTTTGGCAGGAAAGACATTATATTTGGATATATATGTATATACGTACATACATACATACATATATATATGTACACACACATACATACTTACACTTATACATAATGGTGTCTTTTATAAATTCCATTTATAAATTAATCATATTATAATTTGTGTCATATGTGAGAGTGTATATGTACATATCACATACAAATATGTTGGATTACATTGGGAATTGACTTGTGATATCATTGCTGTAGATTGCTCCTGATGAGAACTTTCTCTATCAAGGCAAACTGGTGCCTTCCCTCTACTTAGAAACTGAGAGAGTTACCTAGACCAATGAGAAGTGACTGTGTATGTATGTGACACATACGCAACACAAATTACAATATGACAAATATATAAGTGGAGTTTAAAATACTATGTAATGTAATGAATGAAAGAAAAGTCACTCACTAGTAGTGGATCAAGAAAGCTTCAGGAAAGTGATGGTGTTTGAGCTAGCAAACACCTAATATTCAGAAATGAGGAAGAAGGA